AAAATATGGGAGACATTCCTTCTTGGAAGGAAAGCAAAAGGAGAAAGAAGCAAGATGCAGAGGCAACAAAGACTAAGTGGTAAAAGGGCTGCTTGTATGAGCTGCTGGCTTTATTTATATCAATACGTTACATTTGATCACAGTATAAGATGTTTTGCTTTCATTAGACATGTGCTCTGGCCAAGCACACATTGGTTATCTCTAGAGTACCTGGGAAAGACTGCAAAATATTCCAACCATGGAAAAGAGGGCACCTGTTACCTCTCAGAAGTTTGCTCACCATAGGAATGCTGACTGATATATTTCAATGGTAAGAACTCTACAGCTCCCCTTTTTTGTTGTATGGTCTTTGGGATAAATAACACTTGTTTTCTCTTTAATATTGGTGGAGGCCAAAAAGAGGGTAGGGATTGACAGCAATAAGCACAACATAACAATCCCAGTATTAGTAAATACCCACTTATGAATAGTTGTTTAATCTAATAAAATAAAGTCCAATAAAGTTAAGCCTCCATCATCTTGTTGGATCTTTTCAATGAAGTTTTTAAGGTAATTTAAGTCCTTTGAAATAGATTTACTATTATCACTTAGGTTTAAGCAACACATGTTGTTAAACTCACTACAGCCTCTATGAAGTAACAATAACAAATAATAAATTGCAGCACAAGTGTCAAAAATGGCTTCACAGTATTGCTTTTGCTCTTCATTTAACATGGTGATTGTCCTAGACATATGATTGACATTTTCTACCATAACACAGGCCAATTTCATGAATGTTTTGTAAGCCTCAACAGCCAGTCCAGAAATGCCCAACATGGAAAATGTCAAAGCAGCAAATTCTGTCTTAGAGAGAAGCCTTACTGAATCATCACAATTTTTATTGAAGGGAATACTCTTTTTTGGATGTGTTGTGCAGGATGGTGGCCTATCAAATCCTGTGAGGATGGCAGAAACACAATCAATCTGCTAGACAACAATGGGTATCATTAGACTTATTAGCAGGGATATAATTGAAGGTATATGTTCCACAAGAACCATCAGGATGGTAAGGGTATGTATGTATGTTTGTATGTACGTATGATAAGGTATGTATGGATATGTGCTGAGTTTCACAACTGTATATGCAAATGTATTTCGTTGGGAAAGCCCCATTTAACTGTACCAAGGTGGAGCTCAATATGTATAGATATTTTATATCTAATCTCCATAATGTTGAATTAGGCTCCAACTTCCTTAATAAGACACCTTTGGCATAAAATTAAAACCACAAATCAATAAATGGGATGGACTCAAACTAAAAAGTTTCTTCACAGCAAAAGAAACAATCTGTGAGGTGAATAGAGAGCTTCCATGTGTGTGTGTGTGTGTGTGTGTGTGTGTGTGTGTGTGTGTGTGTATAACAAATTAGAATACAATAAATAAAAAAAGAAAAGTGGGCTCATGTACCAGGCATCTTGGTGTGCTTAAATGGTATGGAGAGTGAAGACCAGAATCTCAGCTGAGAGACCAGAAAATAGCCTAGTGCTATTTTCCCTATATTTTCAGCTTCTCTTTGTGTTATGGGTGATCTGTAAAGGAGGTCTTTTGTAACATCTTCATATGGTATCATTTCCCTTGTATTATGTAAGAATAAAATCCCTTGGAGTTAAAATTTGTGTGATTACACTAAATACTGTAGACCTCTTGCCCAAATCCTTTGTGACACAGCTCTTCAGTATATCCCCACCAAGTTTCAACCACCTGTGCCTGTGGCTCATTTCTTGCTCAGAAGCCAGCAAGAGATGTTCTGTTGAAGGGCTAGGAAATTTCTACCAGTCATCCAGACTAGCTTCCTACACAAAGTCCTGTTCCTTAGGTGGGTTAAGTCTTAATTATGTGTTCTACACGGTTTGTCAGTTTCACCAAATATTTACAGCTTCAGCAGTCTACACATCAGCCAGCTTGATAGTATGTCCTTTATTGAAACCTAAATGTTCCTGTCCTCCCCACTCTACTGTTCCCATTGCTGCCACCTCCCACATAAGCCACGTGCCCTGCCTGGAATCCTTGTCTCACTGTACTTCTGAGGGAAATAAACATAAGAAAGCATTCATGACAGTCCCATGCATAAAGATTAAATTGCTACTGAAGATATTTATATGGTTTTAATAAACATGAAAATGTGTCAATTGTGTTGTTTTTGGATATAGAAAGGAAAGATATCATTTTCAAAGTCTAAGTCTTTACTGAAAGTCTCCTGATAAAAGATAAATGATTCAACAGGTTCTACTTATAAAACAGACAATTCATACATCTACTATTCTGTCATCTATATTAAGAAGTAAAGTGCTCAGTTCTACACAATTATGAAATTCTTGATTGTTTATGGAGACTCACAAATGTAACATCTTAATTATTTCTCTCATACAGATGGAAAGATTATAGGAATTAGATGGAGACTAACTTCTCCATGACTCAAGAAGAAAAGTGTACTGAAATTATGGGTAAAAAGAAGTAATCTGGCAACATTTTGTAAGTGAAAAAAAAAAACCAGCATAGTAAGTATCATAAAGTCTTTGTTGTGACCAAAATCATCATATGGCACATAGTCAATATACATAGATGCCACAAAAAGGCTCCACTTTAAATTGAAGTTTGTTTACATGTAACAGCATACTATGCATACTAAATACATACAAAAATATAGATATAAATACATATTAAATATATATCTATTATAATATATATATATTACATATAATACATAATAATATATTTAATTATATATATTTCAGTGAGTAGTAGTCAAGAACTTCTTGTAACATGTTCAAAAGAAACTAAAAACAGAGATGAAGCCATGGGGAACAATATTAAAGAAACAGTATGTTTCACTTGTATAGATAAGGTAAGCTGGAAAGGCTATAGGCTCCTCTTTCCAGTACAAATTCTTGTTGACATATGTTACTAATTAAAGGAACCACTTGTGAATTTAAGCACAGTATTGGAACAAAAGGAAGCTTTCTTCTATTGGTTATTCACCAACACTGAATGTTCTCTTGCTTGTCCCACTAACTCCTAGTATGTCACTTTAATGACAGTTTGAAAAATAACATTCTTATTTTTGTTGAGAAGTAGATTTTCCTCAGAAATTTATCATTCACCAATGATAACAATTAAAATCTGACTACAATTTTTTGAGAATGGGTGAACTTTTAATACCAACCCCCCTTTTTTATTAAATTGAACTTCATTTGAATTACAAAGTCTAGTAATGAAGTGAAAGTAACTAGAACATTTGATTTTTGAAAACCATATTCTTCAGGTGGTGTAAAACCATAACTTTTTAGATTTATAATGTTTCATTAATTTTAAAACTTTCTTAATATCTTGCTTAACATAAACATATTTTATGAGTTAAAAAAGTAGTTGGTGGGTCCTTTTAAATAAGTTGTAACATTAAAATTAGATGCATATGTAATGAGATACATGGGAAAGAAAAAATGGAAAAGTTTTTTTACTAAGCAAGTTACTGAAAAACAATAATATAAGAATTCTTCCAATTTTCTCATTTTTGGTTGGAAACACCATTCTGAGCTTTCATTGCTTTCTCATCTCATTTCAAGGAAGTATTAAATTAATATAATAATTAGGGTATAGGTGGTCAAACATTAGTCATGAGAGACTAACGAAGAAATATAGTACTTATCACTAATCTCAATAATTCATATAAAATCTAAAATAATGACTACATACACATTTTGTGGTTTGGAGTTCTATTCTATTTGATTTTTGAAAAACAATCACACTAGGAAAGTAGTTGAAATAAACATAATCCTTTCATAAAAGAAAACCATGTATTGAGTTCATGAGTTACTCCTGAGTGGAAAGAAAAATTCTAGCTACTTCACAAATTGGAAAATGGCAATACTGATTTTGTGGTTGGAAGTGAAACTCAGAACCCTTTTTGCAGTTCTTGGCTAGTTTTAAAGGCTAGCCTGATCAACTGAGATGATACAGGCCGGGGCGGGGTGGGGTGGGGTTAGACGGGAGTGGAAACTGGGCATATCATTCAGTATACTTTAAATAAAGTAAATAAAGTAAGTAAGTAAAGCAGCTAGAAAACACTGCACTATCTTATTATCCATTATTTTGAATAAAATAAAATCATATAAGTGCTTTTATAAGTATATAAAATTTGAATTGGAGACCACTTCTTAAATGGTGACATGAGAGCTCTGTAGATTCTCTCTCTGGTAAAAAAAACCAACCAAACAAACAAACAAGAACCATAAGTGTTAAAAATTATTTTTGACAACTCAAATGATTAAATGCTCAATAAATTTTATTGTGAATGGTCTGCACTCTGCCATTACTTAGTATAGAATACTTGAAAAATTAGTTTTAGAGTTATTGCCCCCTACTTCTTTAAATACTAAAATTCTTTCATAACTTTGCTCATTATTAATACTCTGGGGATGTGGAGATCCACAAGGAGTTACCTTGATTTGTATGAACTGTGTGATGTCACATACCCATCATGAATATGGAATGCAGTTCCTACAGCAACAGGGGCCAGTGGGTTTCATGCCATAGGTATTTTGTAGGATTTTCTATTTTACATGAACACTCTTTCTGAAGTATACATGTAGGTGACTTGAGAGGCAGGAACAGAGAGGATTAGAGGGTTAGTGTAAAGATTAAATTTAATGAAATTAAATGAAACACCCTTGGAACAAGATCTAACACACAGTAGATTCTAAAGTGTAAGCCCTTATACAGAAAAATTTTGAATACTGTTGCTATTGATATTGCCATTCAAAATGTTTACGTAGTTCTTTTTTTATACCTAAGCATTCTTTCACCTACACATGAATAACATTTTCTGTATTTTCTTAACTAACAATAGTGAGTTATTTGATTGTGATGATGTATATACATCACAATGCTGTGTTTAGTCAGTTTTTCATCACTAATATAGCTGACAAGAAAAACAGAGGAGAAAAGATTTATTGTGGTTCATGGTTTCAGATGTCTTAGACCATGATTGGCTGATTACTACAGAAATGACAGAAGTTCATGGCAGAGGAAAGCAACTTAGCTCATGACAGCTGAAAAGGTGGGAGAGAGGGAAGGAGCCAGGGAAAGATATCATATATGTTATTGCTTCAGACAGTAGACCTTTATTGAACACCTATGAACCAGAGACTCTGGGAAAGGGAAGAAAAGAACTGAGGCATATTATTCAAAGATAAGTAGATTTTACAGAATGAATGAATGAATGAATGAATGAATGAATGAGCAAGAGCTACAATCTCTATGTATTACAAAATTTATGTTCTGCTTCTCAACCAGATTATATGTGTTTCCAGTGCATGGTTTGTATTTCTTTATGCTTTTCATGTTGCCTAGTAAATTTATGTGCATTTAATAAACATCGTAGACTTCTTGGATGATTAATATTCCATTAAAAATTATTCAGAATTTTAAGCCATGTATATACCAGAAGACTACAGGGAAGAATGAGGGACAATAAATTCTTTGGCATAGAAGGCCTTGGAAAGTTCTTCCTTTATATCCAAGTTGTTGGAGGTACAGATTCTAAAGTATACAAAAATCCATGCAAATACACACAGGTAGTAATATAAACTTAGAAATCATAAATATAACATTTGAGAAGGATAGGCTTTAAACATATGGTAAACTTTAAATAATTATATGGAGATACTCTCTCTAAAAAACAACCCCTTGATGGTTCATCATTCTCTCTACTAGGAATATATATATAAATTAAACTGGAACATTAAAGAGACCTCTGCAGTCTTTTGGTTACTGTGGCACTATTCATGGCAGCTAAGGTATAGAATCGACCTGTGCCCACCAACTGATGCTCCTTACTGTCACCTGAGCAGATGGCTTAAAAGTATAATCTTCAATTTCCTTCTCTGTAAGATGGGATACTTAACTAAATTACAGTATTTTTGGTGTGTAAATAATAACTAAAATTCTAATAGCACTACTTCTTTTTTCCTGATCTGCTATAGCATATTCATTAAAAACATCAGCACTTGAACATGTACTATCTTATGCTGGAATCTAATGATCATAGGTGTGATTCACTGTAATTCCTATAATTAGCTGATAAAAAGTTTAAAGGGGACTAAATATATCTTACATTTCTTTTGACCACACTGATTAAAACCCAGCAGGTTATTAATTACCTGATTCTATAATAGATTCAGGAATAATAAAATAATACTAAACCCTGTAGAGAACCACAAACAAATCAAGATGGCACCTGGCACTTCGCCAAGAGGAATGTTTTGGGGGGTAACGCCAGCGCCAATGAGTCATTAAGATGATGTTAATTAAATTGAGCTGTGTATAATTGTTAAGATGATGACTGATTGCTGTAACTGTATGATGTTAATTGAGACAAGCTGTGTGTATTTAGTTAGGTATAAATACCTCTGCTTCTCTGAATAAAGTGGCTCCTACTGTATCAACCTTCACAAGTTGCTAGTCACTCACCCCCAGCTATTTTGCCTACCCCAGCTGGACTGCGGCAAAACCCTGTATCAAATTGTTTGAGGATTAAATGCAATTTAATAAATCTCTATCACTAAGCCCTCTTTCCTCTTTAAAATATGTGGATTATTAAGAGTACTAAAGCATATGAATTGGTAATAGTCATCTGCACTTGTATGTGTTTAGCAGTTCATCTTAAGCTAAGAATTATATAATTAATATATACAATAAACACTACATGTGTATTACGTCAGGAGAGGTAAGAATGACTTTCCATTCTCTCTAGTTAAGCTTCCTCACCTGTCATTATTGAACCAAAGTAGTTAGGATAAGAATAGTCTTCAGGCCTTACAGGATCTGCCACATCTCAAACTATATTTGACTTGAGTAAAGATTAAAAATTCTAACCCATTCACATTCATGGTCAGGTACTAGACATGAAGCTGCATAAGATGGACCTCTCCCTTCAACAGAGAAACTCATAGTGTTCCCAGGGAGCATGCTGCCTGCCCAAATCCCACAATGGGGTGGAGAGATATAGAATGCAGGGTCCTTCTGTGGATCCAGAGCCAATTGAGTGGAACAAAGTTGACATGAAAGTGTAAGTTTGAGGCTCCCAATTAAATAAAATTCAGTTGATTACTCTCAATTAATATGAAATTAGAATATACTTTTGGTGGATTAATTACTATACACTATTCTGAGGATTTTCACCTGTTGTTTTTAAGAAAAAATTTTTGATAAACTATTTTAAAAATTTGACTTATAAATATGTCAAATATAGTTACAGATAAATATGTAAACACGAGTTCTTTGGGCACTGATTTGAAAATGGATCTTTCTTATTTTCCTGTTGAGCTTAAACAGTAATATACTAATTTTTGATTTTGAAATTCTCAGAATCTGGCTTTTTGCTTCAGTGAAAGGGAAGCACTCGATTCCCTTGGTGTGCAGCAGTTTCTCTAGCATTCTTCCAGCTTTGAAGAACAGACCTTTTACCAGAAAACAGGAGCTCAGTTTTCTCTTTCACCATGTCTGGGCTATCCCAGATGGCTTTGAGCAAGAGTTCTATACACTCTAGGAGTCAGCTGCACCCTGAATCCATAGGGGTGGCAATTCAAGGATTCCTCAATGATCCCTGGATTTAGAATCAGATGATTTGGTTCAGAATTTGTTTACCCCAAGCTGAATATCTGCCTCTGAGTTCATGAATGTGGTTCTTGATGTCTTGGGATCTTGGACAGCTATTAACTCTCTTAAGATTAAATTCTGTTTTTTAGAAAATGAGCATAATAATATCTATGGCTTTTATGAAGCCTGGCAATAGAAAGTATGTTAAGGCAGTGGCACACTATAAAATGCCATGGAAATGTGACAGTTACAGTTATGTCTCTTCTTCATTCAGTCCACACCCACAGTACGCGCGCGCACACACACACACACACACACACACACACACACACGTCTGGTTCTGTATGAATCACAGATCAATAGGTTCTGTTCACTTTTCCCATCTGTAAAAAACAGTGTTATTGGTTTGTCTCTGTATGCTCTGTGAGTCTTCTCTGTGACCCGGGTTCTCAGGCTCCTGTCTTTATTTTAATTGTACCAGCTGCGTCTGTCTTCTTCCTTCAGCCCGCCCAGGCTGGGTAGACCTTTGCAGAGCAGACCGGTAGGGGATGATGCCACCAGTGCCTGAACACCACAGCCTCGAGGCCCTGAACATGCCACCTTGCACGTGCACAGGTGCTGCCTGCAGTGAGTGCAGGGGTGGAGGCGGAGGGGGCAGGGCGGCAGGCACTGTGGCCTGTGGCGTGGTCCTGATCCCAGGAAGGCTCTGCTTTGGCTGCAGCAGGGTCCTGGATCTGCAGACCACATCCCCAGAGCACAGGAGAAAGGGGGAAACATTCAATCCTCTCCCCTGGATAGGCCTGCCACCAGAGACAAAAAGTAAATATAGCCAGCTCTGATACACAGGGAAGCTGTGTTGAGGCCTCTGCTAGAGCCAAAAGGGAGAGACAGCTCTGACCAACAGAGCTGGTTAGGCTGGCTCTTGGATCAGCAGCAACAACAAAAAATGGTCAAGTTTTTATACCTGTGTCAGGGTTGCAGGAGTGGGCTTTATAAAATCTAAAAATTCTCTCTTATTTTTGGCACATTTTCAAAAGATGTTTTCATTTGCACACACTTAGGCCTCGGGGAAGGAGCATTTGCAGTCCTTTTGCTGGACTCACATCCTGTATAAACATACTTGCTCCTGGTAAGAGTGAGCTGCTGCAGTGCAGACAAGACAGGTGCAGGTGGAAGAAAGCCTAAATCTCAACAGTACCAAGTTAAAGGTCCTAGACATTCACCTTTAGCCATTTGTGGTATGTCCCAACAGTTTTAATATTGAAAGCTCAGTCCTTGTCTCTGTTGCCACTCGAATAATGAGGAAAAAGGAAAAGGTTTATTGATTTTTTAGCAATGGAGAAACCTGGGACTGCTGTCCAGAGGCTGGGATTCTCTCTGCCAGGGGTAAAAGGAAACTTTAAAAGAAGAACAAGGGCTGAGATACAAATATTACCAGCAGATAAAATGAGTGTTCAGTGAAGTCCTTGAGAGAGTCTTTGTTTAACGTATCATTTTTACAATGTATTCATGTGGGAAGTTATTTTTTTTCAGATGGAGAAGGACAGGATAGCTTATTATTAGGTGATTGGAACAGTCGTATCTTCTTTTCTCTGTTGTTAGGAACGGGAAAATGGGGAAGAAAGAGGAAAGAAAGACAGACATGTCTGTTTTAAAATAAACCACTTGAGGTTGACCTGTAAAATTTGTTCTCAAAGCATAAAATGGACTCCTGTTACATTTCCCCACTGTCAATTTCTAACCTCCATTTCTATGGAAATATGGGTGATAGCATCTCCTGGCTGCATCCTCCTGAAAATGGATGATTAAGGGTCCTTATAATGGAAGGTTTTGCCTGCTATTGTTATTTTTCCTTCTGGGCTTCTACCAGTAGGGAAGGAGCCCTGTTTCCACCCTTGTTGGGGACCTAAAGGAAGCACACTCATGTAGAGCAGTTAATATTTGTCTGGTTTGTTGCATATACTGTTTTAATCTAATTTTTTTCTTGTGATGGCCATATTTGCCATTCTCAACTTGAAGTACCAGAAAAGGCCTCCCATTCACTGTTTTATAGGAGCCATTTTAAGCCTGCTTCTCGGACCACCTGTATTTGATGGAGAACAATTTGTAACACCTTATCTCACTGCAAATGAGTCTTTGATGTCATGTAGCCATCATTTTTTAAAGCCATTCATCTTTTTTGTTTTTTCCTATAGTTTAGGATGGAAGCAGCTTCTATTGGCTATCCTATGTTTTGTTTACTTATTGGGTTGCTTTTGAAATGACAGATTTTTTTGTCAGTTTGTCCTTGGAGAGGAGTCCGTGTCTTGTCTTTAGCTCTTTTAATACGGTTTTATTTATTTCTGTGGCTTTTTCTTTTCTACTGACATAAGCCTCAACCCACGGATAGAAGTTGTCTACCAGTATAAGCAAAAATTTGAAGTTTCCCATGGCATGGGACATTTGGGTTAAATCTCTTTA